GGCTGTTTTTATTTGGCCATATTACTATGACACGAAACACATGTTTTGATGTAAATAAACAATCTGTTGTATACGCCACTTGGAACTCAAGTTTCAAGGACACGCTCGCGACAACCCCTCCGCCTTAATATGACGAGCACAAAGAGAACTGGGACTGTGTCATTTTCAATGACTTGTTTCATTTGCTAATGTACATCAGGTGAACACATACACCTGCTGTCAGCAACTCTTCACTTGAATGACCTTTTATCATCTAGTCAGCCAACCATTCTTAAAACATCAACCCCCTAAGCAATATACAGATAAAGCTTTTAGTGGGTATCCATCTCTTTCACGAAGATGTAACATATCACTGATAATCGTTGTTCATTTAATGGATGTATTATTATCAGGCTTTAATTTCCTAAAATTGGATGTAATTTACAAAGTTCACCTTATTGCATAACTGTTGCATCATAGTCAAATCTATTTTAGTGAGCACATTTATATAAAGATCCCCACGGTACTCGTTCAGAGTAACCCAATGCAAATAAGATAAATTAAGCAATACATGTAAAAGTGTATTTTTTAGTGTGACCAGAGACAGTCTTTTGGCATTGGTTGGGTCAGATGAAGCTGCATTATATAAACTCCAAAATGATGATAAATTATTGCTAATTTAGTGTTTCACATTAATTTCAGCAAGAAAAACAAACATTTTTATTTAAAAAATATGCTTGTTGTTCAATCTTTGTTGACAAATTTCCCTTTAAACCGAGAAATTATTACTTGCCTCAGTGTGCCAGTAGCGTTTTCAATGCAGTATGTATCTATGTCTGTGCTATAACTAGAAAAGAAAAATAAGTACAGACTTCAGACTTAACACAAACGTTTATGGTCACGCACATGACATAGAAACATTTTTTGAACAAAAGGTCACAGTCGAAAAAAAAGAAGCCTGTGCTATCAAAATTAGCACACATGTTCCGGATGAGATTCGTAAGATCATGCCACATTTTTAGGCCATAGGTCCAGTCCAAGTTCATGTACGTTTTGTTTATAATAACTGCAGAGGGAAAATAGCTAGGGCCTTCAGACTTGGCACACTGATTCCCTATGTATTCTCCATGACATGGCAATTATTAGGGACAAAAGAGCTTAGTATATTTGTGTATGTATATTCACAATAAAACTACAAGGAACATTGATCTGCATTTAAATTTTATCTCTTGTAGATTATTCCTGTGCATTACAGAAAGATATTCTAGTACATGGACGTTTATATTTAACACAGAATTGGCTTTGTTTTTATGCCAATATATTTAGATGGGAAACTTTGGTGAGTAGATTTTATATGCCATGTTTCAACATTCTAAGCTAAATCATGTACTAAAGGTAAATTGTGAAAATGGCATTTACACATATACCGTAGTAGTCCAGGTAAGCGCCCAGAGTCTTGAACATGGAAAATTACCAAAAAATAGGGGTGGGCCTATGCCCAGACATCCTCTGTAAAAAAAAAAAAAAAACTTCGCGAAAATTGGCGACTGAAGGCAGGACGCAAATC